TTAGTGAGTGGTGACAGCCTACTGTGTGCTAAGACGCTAGGGCTTCTGTAATGGATAAAGCAGACACGGGTCTCTGTGCTCACACAGTTTATATTGGGGGTAGGAGAAAAATTCCACAGTTTCAAGAGAAAGCCTTGACCTGTGTAGGTCAGCAAGGCTTCCCCGGATGTTGAGGGATTTGGGAAGAGGGAAGTCCTGAGGGTCCTGCTGGCTGGGAAGCGATCCATTCAAAAGAAATAGACTGAAAACTATGACTCACACCTGTAATCTCATCTACTCTAGAGGCAGAGATCAGGAGGATAGAGGTTGGAGGTCAGTTCCAGCAAAAAACAAGCTGGGTGTGGTCGTGCACATCTGTAATCTCAGGCATATGGGAGGTACAAGTAGAAGAATCTAGGAGGATGTTAGTCTAGGACTTGGCTCAGCCAAACCAAGAAACTGTATTTGGAAAATAACTAAAGCAAAAAGGGTCGGGTGCATGACCTAAGTCATAGAGCATTTCCTAGCAAGCACAAGGCCCTGAGTTCAAACCCCAGTACTGCCAAATAAATAAAGAGTTGACAAGACCCCCATCTCCACAATAAGCAGAGCAGGACTGGAGGTGTGGCTCAAGTGGTAGAGTGCCTGCTTTGCAAGTGGAAAACCCTGAGTTCAAACCCCAGTCCCAACAACAACAACAACAAATATATATATATTTAAATGTCCAGTTTAAGAACTGGACATGTAGCTCAGTGGTAGAGCACCTTCCCAGCACTAGGGAGACTGAGGCAGGAGGATCTCTGTCTGAGCTACATAGCAAGGCAGGGAAGGAAGACAGGAGAGAGAGGGGAAAGGTAAGAGAGAAGAGAGGGAGGGAGTGAGGGAGGAAAAGGAATCAACCAGACTTGAGACTGCTAGCTGTTGAGGAAAGATTCACCAGCCTGGTCCCTGTGCCTCTCAGCTCCCCACCTTCCCACCCTGACACACGGAAAGATGGAGGAACTACATAGATCCCCTGTGGTCTGATTCTGATTGCAATCCGCTTTTAAAGGTGACACCATCACAAACCATTGTTCTGTAATCTTTGAGACCTGTGTTGCTCTCCTTAGCAGCAATGTCCTGTGATGCTGTTCTCTAAACCCTGGGAAACAATGCAAAAAATGTCAGAGCAGGAAAAACACATCACACACCACAGTATTTGAAATATATGCGAATGAAGGTTGGAAGGGTGGCTCCAGTGGGAGAGAGCCTGCCTGGTAAGAGCTAATACCAGGATTACAGATGTGTACCACATCTGGCTCAATGTTCATCCTCAACTTAAGGAAATTATTTTTTAGCTAGTCACCCTAGCTACTCAGGAGTCAGAAATCAGGACGATCAAGGTTCGAAGCTAGCCCAGGCAAATAGTTCATGAGACCCTACCTCAAAAACACCCATCATAAAAAAAAAAAAAAAAATAGGGCTGGTGAAATGGCTCAAGGTGTAGGCCGTGAGTTCAAATCCCAGCACTGCAAAAAAAAGGGAAGTTTTTTTCTTTGTGATATGTGATGTGTATGTGGTATCTTGTAGTCCTGATTGCTTGGGTGGGGGAAGGTCCTACTTCAAGACTTTTTATTTGGGGCTAGGGGCATGGCTTCAAGTGGTAGAGCACCTAACTAGCAAGTGCAAAGCCTTGAGTTCAAACCTCAGTACAAAAACAAAAAAATATTTTTTAATTTTTACTTTAATTAATTTATTTATTTGAGACAAAGTCTCACTGTGTAGCTCTAGGTTGGCTGGCCCAAAACATGAAATCCTTCTGCCTTAGCCTCCCAAGTGCTGGGATTATAGGCATGCAACACTAAGCCTGCCTCCAAGATTACTTCTAATTGTTTTTTTGGGGGTGCTGGGGGTTGAACCCAGGGCCTCATGCATACTAAGCAAGTTCTACAACTAAATTATACACCTAATTCCTCAAAAATAATTACAAAATTATTGTGTTTTCTTCTAAAGTTTAATTCTCAGTATTTCTTTTTCTTTTTTGTGGTGTGAACCCAAGACCTCATACATGCTAGGCAAGTGCTCTACCACCGAGTTACATCCCCAGTCCATATCTTTGTGAATTTCTGTATGTGGCCTTCTTTTATCTTACCTAAATTCATTCGTGCATTTTGGTTTATTCCCAGAGCTATCCTATTTCCATATATTTATTTGATTTGATTTGATGACCCTGGAGTTTGAACTCGGAGTTAGGTGGGGTGAGCCGCCAGTGCCTGGCTAAGAAATAACTTCCTTAAATTGAGGACCCACATTGAACCTGGAGTTTGAATTCAGGGGGGCAGGCACACAACTACTTAAGTCACACCCCCAGCCCTTTTTTGTGTTGGGTATTTTTGAGACAGGATCTTGCTTTTGTTGCCTGGGCTGGCCTTGAAATTTGATCCTCCCAATCTTTGCCTCCCAAGTAGCTAGGCTTACAAGTGTGAGCCGAATCATCTAGAGATAACTCAACCTCCATGATTACATTGAAGTCAAAAACAGCTCCACTAATCCAGGTGTTAGAACAGTCAGGCTACAAATTAACGTTTGGGAAGTAGAGAGGGGCTAGAGATTAGAGCAGTACTCCTTATCTATAAGAATTTTCTAGAATTCTCATGCATTTATGATTGCTGTCCTGCTTGTTTGTTTTGAATCATGTCTCCATCTTGGTGCCCACCCTGTTTTTTGTCTCTGTCCTGTACTTCAACAAGGGTCACAAAAATTCCACTATTATCACCTACTTTCAACCTGTCGGTTAGAGAGATCAAAACATTTGAAGAAATGTAATTCAATTAATAATAGGTGACTGCTAAATAGGTTAGACTTTGCCTCACACAAGTCTACCCATCTCAGAACTCATGCCTTTTTGTTTGGTTTTGGTGTTGAGGATTGAACCCAGGGCCTAAGAGTGCCAGGTGAGCTCTGTACTACTGAGCTCCATCCCCTGTTCGCTCCATTGAGTTTAAAAAGATGCATACTATTGACCTGAACTCACCCAAAAGATGAGTGATCACCCAAAAAAGAGCTTACGGGTGCTCTCCAGAGTGCTGGGAAGAAGGGGTGGCCCAGTCTGTAACCTCTAAGTTAGTGCATTTCATGCCCAGATCTTCCACTGGTGAGCTAGGCACCTGGCTCTCTATCCTGTCAGTTACAAGAAAGCCTTACTAAGTAAGACAGTAGCTGGGACGCACTAGCCACAGTACCTACCCCATCACACTCGCCCAATGTTGGCAGATGGTTACTTGAGAGTTAAGGCCTTCTCTGGTCAAAAATTCTCAAAGTTAGCTGGCTGCCAGTGGCTCACGTCTGTAATCCTAGCCACTCAGGAGGCAGAGATCAGGAGGATCATGGTTCGAAGCCAGCCCGGGAAAATAGTTCGTAAAGCCCTATCTTGAAAAAACCTTTTACAAAAAGCGCTGGTGGAGTGGCTCAAGGTAAAGGCCCTGAGTTCAAACCCCATACCAAAAAAAGAAAAAAAAATTCCCAGGTTATCTCACATTTAATTACCACCTACAGTTAAAGCTAATCACAGCAGGAAAAATTCAGAAAGCTGTTTGCCTGGAATTTAATTCAGGTCTCCTGAGCTCCATGGAACCAGCACTGGAAAACCACAGCAGGTTTTTCAGGATATTTGCTTTCAGAAGGGCCGCCCCATTCCATTGCTCCCAGCCTGCAGGGATGACTGTGCCCCGCCCAGCCTTCCTACGCCCTCTCCAGAGGCACCATCCTACCCCACGCGGCGGTGAACTTGCTCTCAGAGCTTTGGAACTGAGATACTTGGAAGCAACCCCCCAGCTCTTATCTCTAATTCTCAAGAGGCTCACAGTTCTTTGGCTGCCTTTTCCCAGGCTCCAGGTTGGAGTGGTCCCCACACCTAGGGACCTGAGGAAAAGTCAGACTGAGGATAGGTGATAGTGGACCGACTCTTCATTTCACATTAAAGAACCTTGTCAAAATATTTGCTTTTTCTTTTCTTTTTTTCAGTACTAGGGTTTGAACCCAGGGCCTACAACTTGAACCACTTCACCAGCCCTTTTTTGTAATGAGTTTTTTTTTTTTTTAGATAAGAGTCTCTGGAACTGTTTGCCCGGACTGGCTTTGAACCATGATCCTCCTGATCTCTGCCTCCTGAGTAGCTAGGATTATAAGTATCAGCCACTGGTGCCCGGCAATACATTTGCATTTTCAAAAGCTCAGTTGTGGTTATCTGGATGGTGGGATTACAGGTAACTGGCGTCTTTTATAATTTCCTGTGTCTACAAAGATGATGTATGTCACGGTGTGATTCATTGGGGGCTTTATCTAATTACAAAAGCATTTTGTGCTCAATGCTGAAAACTTAGAATACAGGAGGGGAAAAATAAAGTCCCCTTCATCATGTCATATAAAAATAACAGCTGTTAACATTTTGGCGTATGTCTTTCCAGACTTTTCTCTATGCAAAGATGTTTCATTTTTGTGATCTGGAAAAAAAAAAAGTAAACATTTAAGAGACAAAGCTTTGGTTCTTTAGTCTTCGATTTTATTTCTGTTTTTAAACAGCAACTTAACAGGCTGGAAATGTTCCTAACAGCAAGGACCTGCCCCATGCATTCTAGGAGGCTCCCCCTCCCCCAGCCAGGGCTGAGGTCCAGGCTCCAGGAACTCCCTCTCGCTCATACCGGCCATCAGGCCTATTTTCTCTCTGGAGACTTGGGACAGAAGAGGGTGTCCAGTTGGAGAGAGGGGAGGGTGGGACTAAGGGTCACCATGTGGAAGGGCTGAGCTCACACACAGCTGCCTTTGTTAGTCTCAGGATATTTGGAAATTTGGTAGCATGCTCAGACAGACTGTGGGAGGGCTTGGGAAGGGGCTCCCGAATTCCTCCCACCTCACTCATGGGGCTAGCCCCTCAGCACCCCTTCCTCTTGCCAGGCTCAGTGCTGCCATTAGACGATGGCTCTCTGATAGCCTTCGGTTTCTGCACGCCTCGGTGGGGCTGGCCAGCTTCAGGGAAGCACCCTCCCCACCATCTCTGGCTAGGCAGGGTGGGAAATCAGGACTGTGACAAGGATTCAGACCTGGGAGTGTCCCATCATGTCTTTTGACAGGGCTTGGGATCCGACTATGCCAATCCTTACCAACTCTCACCAGAAGGGAAAAATACAAGGGCATCTCTTTGTGACACAGAGGAACGAACCTGGCATTTACACCCAAGCATGGTGGGCATTTTTTAGCCCCCAGGCTGGAGGCAGCTCAAGGCATGCACTAAAACAGCAGGGGGCGGCTCAGCCAGAAGGGTAGGGGCCCACAGGGCTGGATCTACCCTCCCCCACTGCCATCCACACCCATGGTAACCATGGAAACATAACCACCCCCCTCCTGCCAGCTGCCTGAATTCAGGCAACCAGGTCTGGTCCACCTCCTCCAAGCCGAGGCCTGAACTAATGCCAGGCTGGCCAGAGTGGTTGCAGGAAGAACTGGGATTGGGCGATTTGGTCAGTCAGGTGCCAGTACAGCTTGGGAGGGCTACCACAGGAGCCTCCACACCTCGCTGCCTGGGCTGGGGTCAGACAGGGCTGAGTCAGCCAGCACAGCAGCCAGCAGAGCCAGGTGGAAGCCCTGGCTGCTCTCCTACTGTGGGCTAACAGCTACTATGGGGCAGGAGCCCTTGCTGCAGGAGCAGCAGCCTCTGGGTCTCATTGAGGGAGCTCTCTGGCTGCTGCTCCACCTGCCCAGGCAGCTCAGCTGGCCCTCCAGGGCTGAAGATGTACCGACAGTCACTGGGGGTGCCACCCACTGCCCCTAGGCCATTGCCATCCCCGGCCCTGCCGCCAGGCTGCTCCCCGCAGGGCAGCTCCAGGCTCCCTCCGTCTGCAGGCTGCTGGGCTCTCTCAATGTTGATGTACAGGGGGTCCTGGCTGGTGGACAGCACAGACAGGTGCCCCAGGATGTTCTCCAGCTCCATTCGCAGGCATGTGAAGCTCGGGCGCTGCTTTGGGTCAGCGCTCCAGCACTGGTACATGAGATCATACCTGGGGTGGAGAGAGGGGGGAGCGGAGGTAGCAACCCCCCAGCAGAGGCCCCTTAACTATATGGCACTGGGATGGCAAAAAAAATATTATGTGACATACTAGTCAATAAGGCTTAGTATGGATCAGGCTAAGTACTTTACATTTACTAAATTATGTAATTTTCACAACATCTATGAAATAAAGTGATTCCTATTCTACAAATGTGGAAACTGAAGAGGTTAATAACTTTGACTAAGGTCACAAAGGTAGGAAGTAATTGGGCTATGATTTGAAGTCAAGTGTGCCGGCTCCGAAGTCCTTTCTTTTTCTTTTTTTTTGCAGTACTGGGGTTTGAACTCAAGGCCTATACTTTGAGCCACTCCACCAACCCTTGATGGATTTTTTTGAGATAGGATCTTGAGACCTATTTGCCTGGGCTGGCTTCAAATCTCAATCCTCCTGATCTATGACTCCCAAGTAGCTAGGATTACAGGCGTGAGCCAAAGTCCTTTCTTAGTAGTCTTGGGAGGCCTTACTGTGAGTGCTTTGTCTTGTACAACACAGCCTGGAGTCAGGGTTGTTTTTCTGTTTTGTGGTGCTGAGGATAGAACCCAGAGCCTCTAGGCAACTGCTCTACCACTGAGCTACACCCTAGTCCTGGAGTCACTCCATCAGCCCCAGGGTTACTTTTTTAGAAAGTGGATTTGTGCACACACTTTTTTGTCCCAAGTCCACTGAGGCAGCACCCACTCAAGTGCTCTTAAATCCTCATTGTCCACAGACTCCTAAGAAAAGCTTCCAGCCCTCTCCCCCTGGCAGGAATACTTTTTTACATACTATTTCAGGAGCCTTACAGATTCTCTGAAGCCTATCACTGTTCCCAAGGAATGACTCAGGCAAGAAAAACAAAAAACAAAACTCCCCACAAAACCTAGTGGAAAGGGTCTGAGAACAAGTGCAACCAGAACACGTGCCTGACTTGCCTATGCCCATGAAAAGCCACATGCACTGCCTCACTACCAACCATCAGCCCTCCTGACAGGGGCCCCGATAATGGGAAGAATCATGTCAGACCCCAAGCAGGCCGTGGGAATGATCCAGGGCCAAGGGTACGCAGCCAGAGCAGGACACATTCTCAAGGCTGTGCTAGGAGCCAACTGGCACCTATCCACCAGGCTGCCTGGTGGGAGGCCAGTGTCTGCCCACTCTCCATTGACAATACCAGCTCCAGCCTGGCAGAGACTCAGCCATGGCCTGTCTCTACTGCCCAGGAGAGCTTCTATAACTTCAGATGAGGACCAAGGCCAGCTGCAGCTGGAAGGAGACTTGAGTTTCCAGTTCCCACCATGCCCTAAGCATGGCTTGATGAATAGGAGGGCAGGGTTGGTCCTGCTCTTGGATTTCCCTCTCAGGTGCCGGTGAGGCCCACAGCCCTGGCTCCTGACACTTCAAATCTGCTGCCCTAGAAAACAATGCCACTGTATAGCCTCAGCCTTTTGCTGGTTCATGGCCTTGACACTCAGGAGGTCCAACCTCACAGCAACAAAAGGAGCACATACCCCCTGGGTCACTGTGATCTCTTTCCCACTGATGCTGACCCAGAAACACCCTGGCTTGAATGGAGCCAGGGAATAAGGCTAGACCAGACCAATCACAGTTGGTTTCATGGTTGACAGCACATACTCGGAAACCACAAGGACAAAGGTTCAAATACCAACTCATTCATGTAATAGCTGTGTGACTCTGGTCATGTTACTTAACCTCTTTAATCCTATTTCCTCATCTACAAAATGGGTTTAAGTCTTTTCCTTATAGGGTTAGAGGAAGATACTCTGAAAGAATAACAAAGCACTTAAATATCCTCTTGTCACAGGCTTTTGCCAACACTATGGTAGGTGGTAATACCACCTTGCCCCGCTTCCCAGGGCCTTACAACAAGGAAAGGTAGATGTTACCTTCTTCCCAGGATCTCAGATACTTTACACTCCCCCAAGAGGCCAAGGCCAAGGAACTAACCTGCTCCCCAACCCCGCTCCTTGCCAAGCAAGGAGTAGCCTAATTTTTCCTGGGCCCTGTGCAGTCCTATCTGAGGGGGAAGGGAGCTTAGAACAGGTTTTCTTAGACTAGCTGGGGTCCAAGAAAGAGGCAGGAGTGGGGAGAAGGTGATAGAGAAACTTGCACTGCTATCTGCTCTACCTTCTGCCCTCTTTCTAGAAACTGGAGAAAGCAGTCATAGCAAAAGGCTGGAGCAAGAAATATGGGATGGGATGAGAAAGGCAGAAAGAAAGAAAACAAGAAGGGAGGTGGTGGATGAATAGGGAGTATGGGGTGGAGGTAAGTCTTCTCTCCAACTACAAGAACATTTCTATCAGAAAAAAAGAGAGAGAAAGAAAGAAAAGGAAGAGGGGCAAGAGGTACTCACACATCCTCCATGCACTCCGGAGGCTGTTTCAGGCGGTTCCCGCCGATGAGGTAGTTGTAAATCTCAGCATTTTCAATACCTGCATATGGCGTCTGCCCACGAGTCATGATCTCCCACATGGTCACTCCAAAGGCCCACTGGTACAGAATTGGGGTTAGGGACAGGGTGTCACTAGGCTTCCTGAGCCAAGCAGAGCCATGGCTCTGGGGCAAGCACATCTTGGGGTTCCAGGGCCTCATACCTAGGCAGAGAGCCCCTGAGGGTCCTGCATTTCCCCCCACACACTAGTCCACATCACCTGCATTATCCCAAGCCCCGCTGTGCCACCTTGCTCACCACATCACTGTGCACAGTATACAGGTTGTCAGCCAGGCTCTCCAGGGCCAGCCACTTGACAGGCAATTTTGAGGCACAGCCCTGACGATAGTAGTCCCCACTATAGATTTTCCGGGAGAGTCCAAAATCGGCCACGCACACTGTCATGTCCTCTGCCAGCCTGTGAGGAATGTCAGAGGACAAGGGCAACCTTCCCCCATGCTCCCCAAGCTCACAGCTTTTCTTCCCAGGCTATCCCCATGCACCGCAGGTACTGCCCCAGACAGGACCATCAGCCAGTTCCTCCTGGCACTAGCTGCTGTCTCCCACTCCCGGGCCCGCCAGAATTCCTACATGCAATTTCGAGTGGCCAGGTCTCGGTGAATGAAGTTCCGGGAGCTCAGGTACTCCATGCCACAGGCAATGTCCACCATGAACCGGATCAGGGTCTGCAGGGGCAGGTTCTGGTAGGCAGACAGGGCAAGCTCAGGCTGGATCTGCCCACCCAGCTGGGGCAGGGCGAATGGGGTTCCCTGGCCAGAAAGCCTAAAGAGTGTCCTCAGAATCACTGAAAGGAAGGAAAGGGGATGGAGGGCTTTTCCAAGGCAAGGAAGCTGTGGCAAGCCTGTGAAAGAACCTGAGGGCCAAGACTCCTGCACCACAAGTCTCTTCTCACAGAAAGGACCCTTGCCCAGCCTAAAATTCTCAGCAGGGCTTCATGAGGGAAAAGGAAGCTCTCCCTCTCCCAAGCAACTCCAGAGGCCCGAACCACCAAGCCCCTCTCTTCCTGAAGCCTTGTCCCTCTCCAGGCCTATTCTCCAAACCCACTTCCTCCTGGCCACTCCCACCCCAGACACTCACAAAGGGGTTCTCCCCAATCCGAGAGGCAAGTAGGAAGGCGTGCAAGTCCCCATGCTTCATGAAGGGCAGGATGACCATGGGGATGGGGAGACGGCCTTTAGCCCTGCTTCGGAGGCTCACCCCTGGGGACAAGGAAGAGTCAGACAAGTAAAGGTCAAGACAGCTCAGAAATCTACCTCAGTCCCCACCCATCGGTCCCCACCCACTGGGTCCCACCCCTAGCCCTGGCTGTGCAGTTTCTTTTCTCATGGTTCCTCTCTGATCTGCGGGCTATCCAGGAGGGGCTCTGGCTGCTCCCAGATCTGCAGCGCATGTTCCCTGTCCTATCCTCTGCCCACAGACCTTTGGCACAGGGTCTGCAGACTAAGCTCCTTGCCTGAAGCATGGTCAGATTTTAGCCAGGCCCCTGCTCGCTGTTGTGCCTCCTTCTTACCAGGTAAATGCAAACTTCTCTCCTACAAGCTGTCCTCTTGTGTTGGTGGAGTGTATTTTTAGCCCTATTCTCTATCTGCCTCCCCGCAATGGGCTCACCAACAAGTTTAGCCACATGTGGATGGTCAAACTCCTTCATGCAAGCTGCTTCCCTGAGGAACTCTTCAATGTCGCTGGAGGCAATGATGTCCGCTGGGAGAAATGGATGAGGGAGAGAGTGAAAGGAGATATTTCCCCGGCTCTGATCCAAGACTCCTAAGTCTCATTCTTCAAAAGTCCTGAGCTTTGGACAGGACATGGTTCAAGTGGTAGAGTGCAAGTTCAAGGCCCTGAATTCAATCCCCAAACAGCCTTCTCCCCCCGCCTCCCTCCAAAAGTTCTGAGCATCCCAGGAGACCAGGATAACAGTCTAGTCACAAGAAGGACAAACAGCCACTGAGTGGTGCTCACTCAGTGAGCACCTCTTTGGTTTCCACAGCCCAGCAGCTCAACCAAGCACAGCTGTAATTATCCCAAGAATGAACTCAGAGGGAAGTCGCTGTTCTTGCGATGCTGGAACATGAATCTCTTTGTGGGTTTATGCTTCTGAATTATTCACGTGCTACAGGCAGCATCCTGGTTAGTGCTGACTAGATCATCTTGGAAAACCCTGGCCCAAAGCAGAGTCTGATCTAGGATCAGACACCCCTTTAACCCTACCAAGGAAAGCCTTCACAATCCGTCTTGTTCACCCACCTTTCAGCATCTTTACGGCCACTTTCACAAAGGAGCCATCCTCTTGCTTTAGCTGGGCCTCCCGCACAGACCCAAACTCTCCTAGGAATGTAACCAATGAGGGTGAGGTTGCTTGGCCTCCAGCTCCCATTCCCTTCCCTACCAGGTGTCCCTCCACCTCCCGAGGCCACCAGAGCTGATCACTCCTGCAGGGAGTGGCTCCTCAGCCCCCTGCCCCTAGCCAGCACTCCCTTTAGCACCCCCAAACCCAGGCATCTACAAGCATATCTTGTTTATAGAAGCTGACCCACTCATACCCTCAAAGTGCCAGGGATAACCAAACCCAAAGGGAGGGCCGGCTCATGCCAGCCCTGCGCAGCCCACACACCTTTGCCCAGCATCCGGCCCAGGGTGAACTGCTGCTCCGGGATGAGTACATCCTCCAGCTTGTCTTTCAGTTCATCGCTGATGCCCAGGCTGTCCACTGCAGGGAGGAGGAGGTGAGAACGGGGCTGAGCTGTTTCTTGGACCCACTTAAGAGCTTGGCTCTCTCGGAACAGGGGTGGTGAGTTCCATGAGGTAGGTCTGTCTGTCTTTTACTACCCTGGGCCTCATCATGCTTCAGACATATTGGTCAAATTAATGAGCTGGTAAAAGAATGCAGGTAGAAGCACAAGACAGCCCATCTGTCCCTCCCATGATCCTCCACCACTCACGCGTGGCCTCGATTCGTTCGGGTCTTTCTCGATTAAAAGACCGGGCTGCTCGGAAGTGAACTGCTGGCTCCCCTCGGGCCATGACACTGTCAAAGGCTTGCCTAAAGGGAAACCCTTGGGATCAACTCAATTGCCCTCTGTCACCATCCGCCTCTCCCTCCTTGGCCCCACTCCCTTACCCAAACCGTGACTCCTTCCGTCTTTTTCGAAGCAAGATGAGAGCCAGTGCAGCAGCAGTCACTAGGGCTGTGAGCACACCAAGGACCACAGGCACCCAGGATGTGCGGCTGTGGGGAGGACCCTGCTGCCCTATGGGAGGGAAGGACAGTAGCATAAGACAGGCTGGCATCAAGGGTTCCTTTAGAACTTTCCCAGAATAAGGGGCTGGGTGGAGTAGTACATGCCTATAATCTCAGCTACTCAGGAAGTGAAGATTGGAAAGATTGCAGTTTCAGGCCTGCCTGGTGGGGTAAAAAGTTAGTAACACCCCATCTCAACAAACAAAGCTGAGAAAAAGGGCAAGGAGAGTGACTCAAATGGTAGAGCATCTGCAAGCCCAAGGTCTTGAGTTCAAACCCTAGTACCGCCAAAAAAAAAAAAAAAAAAATTTCCCAAGAAGGCCATTTGGCCTGGTCAAAAAGGCTCCCTAAGTCAGTAAGGACAGGTGAAAAAGGTTCCAGAGAAAGTTCTAAGAGTTCCGACTTGGACTGTGACAGGCCATGGCAGTTGTGACTATATAATGTGACCAAGGATTTATATGACGGTTCTGGAGCAAAGAGATATGAAAACCAACCCCAGGGGTTAGCAGGGTGGCTCAAGTGGTAAAGCACCTGCTTAGAAAGTGTGAGAGCCTGAGTTCAAACCCCAGTACTGTCAGATAGATAGATAGACAGATAGATAGACAGACAGACAGAAATAGATAAATGCCAACCTTGGCCTCAACTGCTTGACCCTAAGTTTGGGGGCCTTCTAGGAGGACAGGTGCCGCCTGCTTCCTCCCACCTCTCCAAGTGCTTTGAAAGCGCTGATTTCCTGTCTTCATCCTCCATATGCCTCACCTGCATGGTCGTGAGAAGAGACCACAAGTGGCTGACTCCAGGGCCCACAGCCAACTGCGTTGGAGACGCAAACACGCACGATCAGGTCCTTCTGGGGATCCCAGCCTGTCAGGTTGGCCCTGGTCCCCTCCACTGTCAGCTCATCCTGCAGCCAAGAGAAAGCCCTCTCCACACTGAGCCAGAGAACCAGGCCTCCAGCTATAGCTGGCTAGGAACACGGGGACTTGGGGCACTGAGAGCAGGGTCTGCGGGAACACAACCTTCTGGATGTCATCACATTCCTGCTCTGGGCTGCGGAGGGAGAAGAGGCCTCTCTAGAACACAAACAAGGCTCAGCACCAGTGGGGGATGGGAGAGAATTAGGCTGGGGACAAAGCCTTATCTGTGCCCTCCTCCAGTTGGGGCAAGAGTATGCTTCCTACTTTAAATGCAAAGTGGCCACTGGGCAATTCCAACAGGCAACATAATCCAGTAAGGAGTGGAGCTGGCCATGGGGGAGAAGGGAGTGTGTTGCCTGGGTGGTGGGAGGCCCAGGCCCCGGACAGATAGCCATTCTAAAGCTCTGAAGGGCCTCTGGACATGGAAGGCTGCCTTTCTACAGTACAGGAAGTGGAAGGGTCTGTCATACCTGGGTCCCATTGTCTTGAACCCAGGACAGCTTATAGGGTCCCAGGGGGCCTTCCAAAGGGCCCTCAGGGATCACTTCTTCCCATTCAAGGATGAGGCCTGAGTCTGTGCGGATGGCATGGAGGTTCTGGGGAGCGCTGGCTGGGGCTGTACCCAAAGAGAGAAAGTTGCTAAGACCCCTCCTTTTCACATCATCATTATCCTACACAGATCTCTGGATCAAAAGCCAAGAACCGGACAACTCAGAGAGCGGCAGAAAAGGGCTTACACCCAGCTCTGACTGCTCTCACCCACTGTGTCAGGGTGGAGGACCAGCTTGGGCAGGAAGGCAGCACCCCAGCCCCACAGCTCTGCAGTGTTGCTCTTCATCACCATGGTTATTGCCTCACCCTCCCAACACACCACACTCACACAGCCTAGTCAGCCTCCTTGCTACGGTCACAACTCCAAGCAAGTTCCTGCCTTAATTTCTGTCTGCACTTGCCGCACCTTCGCCCTAATGCAATTTCCCCCAAACGTTTACACAGCTTCTTCCTTATCCTTCAGGAGTCACTCACATCTCTTTAGAGGATTTTCTTGGCCACCCTGTAACACCTTCATCACATTATCCAATCTTCTCCGGTTTGCATATCTGTTCCACCCACAAGAACTAGATACAAAGTGGTATGTCATGATATGCAGCAGGCACTCAGTAAATGTTGGCTGAATGACGTCTGAACTTCCCTCTCAGGTAGCCCCTCTCCATCAGCTCCATTCAGAACTCCAGCCAGCCCCGCTGCTAATCCCTCCAGTCCCACCCAGTCCCTTACCTAGACCCTTTGTCTGAAAAGGCACCCAGTCAGCGTAGGGGGAGGGCCCCAAAGCATTGGCACAGCGCACCCTGAGGCTGTAGTTGGTGGCAGGCACCAGGTCCCGAAGCAGGCAGGTAAAGGGTGGCACAGGAACCACAACAGCAAGGACCTCCCAGTCTCCTGGGGCCTGTGTCACCTGCAGAAAAGCAGAAAAGCAATGACTTACGGGAAGGAGGCCCCTAAAGTCCATGAGGTGAGATGGAAGACTGAGTAAGTGTGGTATGGAAGCTTGATGAATGCTTCCTCTACATCTGCCTCGCAAGCACAAAGCCTAGTACCACCAAAAAGAAAACACTGTAATGCCCTCCCAACCTGCCTCTGCCCAACACCACTCCAGATTCTACACTCCATGCGGTGCCATCTGCTTGGAATGACCTAGTCTTCTTGCTACATTCTAGGGATGTAGCTCAGTGGTAGAGTGATAACCCACCCAAGGCCTGGCTTAGATTCCCCACCCTGCCCCCCCCGAAGGAAAAATTAAGTAAAATTATTACTTTCTTGGTGAAAGCCTTTCTCAGCTACTCTGAAAACTCTTCTTGTCCCTTTGGACTTGGTCCTTAACTGTTCGAGAGTATTTGACATTTATTGCAATTGTTTAAATGCCATTCCAAAGTCTCAGAGCTTCCCAAGATGAGAGAAACAGGGAGCCTAGGGCACTTTGAACCAGCCCCTCCTTACATCTGGGGACACAAGGCCAGAGTACAATTATTTTTATCTATTTATTTATTTATTTATCTTGGCAATGCTAGTGCTTGAACTCGGGGCTTCATACTTGCTATAGGCAGGTACTCTACCACTTGAGCCACTCCACCATCCCTGTTTGTGTTGGGTGCTTCAAAATAGGGTCTTGTGAACTATTTGGCTGGGGCTGGCTTCCAACTGGGATCCTCTTGAACTCTGCCTCCTGAGTAGCTAGGATTACAGGCATGAGTCACTGGCATCCATTCGAGAGTACAATTAAAGGTCCATGTACTAGCTGGCGGAGTGGTTCAAGTAGCAACAGAGCCTGCCTAGAAAACATGAGGCCCTTAGTTCAAAACCCATGCCACCAAAAACAATTTTTTTTAAAGTTAAAAAAAAAAAAAAGAAAAAATTCATACATTACCTGGATACTGGTGGCTCACACCTGTAATCCTACCTAATTGGGAGGCTAAAATTGGGAGGATTGACATTCAAGGCCAGCCCGAGCAAATAATTCAGGAGATTCCATCTTTAAAATAACCAGAGCAAAATGGACTGGAGGCGTGGCTTAAGCAGTAGAGTGCCTGCTTTGCAAGAGGGAAGCCCTGAGTTCAAACCCTAGTCCCACCAAAAATAATAATAATAATAAAAAGAAAAGTACTCCACATAGTATACGGCTAAATACTTAAACATTAAAAACATCTAACACTTTTTCTTTTTCTTTTTTTTTTTTTTTGCAAGAGATCTTACCCAGGCCTTTATACATGCTAGGTAAGTGCTCTACACTGGGCTGTATCCCAAGCCTAGTTTCTATCTTGTTATCTTTAAAATAAACTTTCAGAGCCACCTTCCATTTATAATTCCCCAAGTCCTCAGAGTCCCAAGTCAGCGTGGTGGCTCTGGAAGAATTAGTCCCTAGGCAGTGGTCTGTACCACCAGGAGCCTCAAGTGCAGAGGTGTGGACAATGCTGCCTGCATACCCAGGCTTATCACCCCTGACCCCTCCCTCCAAAATGACTGCCCTTTGGGCTTAAAGGTACACATGACAGTGTGGGAAGATGGACCAGAGGCCTCACAGGCCCTGGAGTCAGACTCAAGGCCAGCCCTGTGAGGGCAAAAGACCCTGGGGCTGGTGGTGTAGCTCCGTGGTTACAGCACATGCCAAGCACAAGCAAGGGCCTTGGGTTCAATACCTAGCACCACAAAAGACAAAGAAAGAACGACAGAAAAAGAAAAAGAGATACTGGACGTAAATTATCGTGTCGTGGCTCATCTGAGAGGCTGGTTCTCATGACACTGGAGACTTTGCTCAGGCACAAAGGGCTGCGGCTAAAGAGATGGTGGAGTCCAGGGCAGGGGCCTCTCCTGCCCAGGGGAACTAGTGAGAACAATTTCAAAAGGCCCTCATTAAATCCCTTCTGAATAAACATAAAAATAAGCAAGGCTGCATTGCCTCTTGGACATAGTATCACGCTAGCCACCTTTTTTTTTTTTACTCTCCAGGGCTTAGGAGCCCTTCTGGTCCTCTTGGTCTCTTTGGGCAGCGGTAAGGACATGAGAGTGCAGAGTTTTACCCACACAGAAAAAACTCTTCCAGGGCTGGGGGCTGTGGCTCAGTGGTAGAGCACTTGCTGAGCATATTCAAGGCCCTAGATTCGATCCTCAGCATCGGGAAAAGCCAAAAAAAAAAAGCTCTTCCAGGTACTAAATCTGCCCTAGGATCCAGCCCGAAGGATTTATGTACAGGCTTGAGCCGATATGCAGAGTGTCTTAGTTGCCAGAGCATACTAAGATAAGAGACAGTGTTCTGGTCTCTTCCTGCTAAGATGCAGGCCCTGCATGGTGTGGCACATCAAGCCTGATGGACAGATCTGCTAAGTGCGACACCATTATCACAAAGTGCCAGTCAGGCAGCCGGAACAAGCATGGTCAGTCTAGGAGAACCAGTTGGGCTTATTTCAGCCTACCTGCACTGTACAGGATTGGAGCAGGGCTTGGCCATCAGCACCTGGCACCCAGGCCACGCTAGCATTGTTGCTGGAGAGCTTTGTCACTGTGATATTGAAGGGGGCCGCAGGTGGTGCTGTGGATGGAGACTTAGATTCAGTGCCCAGTAAGGATGTGAGAGGAGGGAGCAGGAGGCATGGGAGCCAAGCCTCAAGTTCTCCCTAGGGCCTGGAGCACCTCAACCTAGAAAACACTACTCAGCATCCCCAGGACACAGTGGTGCACAAAGCAGAAACCAGTAGGGCACAGCTGCTCATACCTGGGAATGTGCCTGGGTCGCCTCTCTGAATAAGGGGCCCTGACCAAAGAATAAGATAAGCTGATGTGTGGGGGCAGTTCTGGGGCCTTGGGAAATACAAAGGGACAAATAGGCAGCTGGCTCCTGCAGCCACAGACAAGCTCCTCCACCCGCTGGCTTCCTCCCTTCCTCCTTCTCTCCCTCTGTGCACAGCCCTTTGGGTCTCCTCAATCATCTGGGAGGCTGCTTCCCCCGCCCCCATTCCCTCCACAGGAGTGGGAGAAACAAGGTTGAGCTGGAGCCTTGACCATCTCCTGCTGGCTCCTTTCTCCCTCCCTCCCTCCCTCCTTCTCAAGGACTGTGCTTCGTGATGGGAAATCTGCTGTGACGTCAGGATTCTATTCTCATCTCAGCCATGACAGGGTCTCAGGTGCTCCCACTAGGAATGGGAGCTATGCCAATTACCCCTCTCCCAGAGAACCCAGCAGGACTGAAGGAAACTGGAACACCACAATTGTACTATAGCTGGCTGAGAACGCCCCGGCCTTACCTACCCTACCCGGCTGCCCTGATGTCTTCCTACCTTGAAGGCGAACAATGGCTGCTCGGGAAGTGGCCAGGCCTTTTCTGTTGTGAGCTTCACAGGAAAACTCTGTGCTCTGGGTCACCCCTAGGGCCAGGAAACCTCAGTCAGCCTCCCAAGCAGCAACTCCCATTCCGTACAGGCTTGGGGAAGGAGGGCACTCAGCCTCTGGCCTGACCATCCTAGAAATCCCTCCAACCAAAGGAATGGGCTGGACAGTGGGGCACAGTGGAAGGGAACAAGGTCTTTGGAGTCTAACAAGCTTGGATGGGGCCTCTGTTTTCTTATCTCTTGAATGGGAGAATTTTGAGAATCAGGCAAGTTATGTAAAGTGCAGAGCACACAGTGAGCACTTGAGAAATGTTACCCAGCACCTCCCACCACAATCCCATCTCCCACAGGCAGTGCAGAGCTGCCTCCCTTTTCTGGTCACTCCTTTTTGGTGCATACCAGAGCCCTTTTGTTTGCACTGTGTCCTATCTTTGTTGTTTTTGCAGATTCTCTGACGTGCAGTAGTCCTCAGCTCCTTATGCGTGTCTTATCTCCTCAGTTATACTCAATTCTTCCTGAGCTGGAAAGGTGGCTTCTATCTCCTTTGTATTTCCTCAATCCCCTGTGGTGCCCAGCACAGTGTGGTATGTGTAGTAGGAGTTCCTTGAGTGCTTATTATAGAACTGGCTGCCTGAGGGTCCTAACCACGCACATCTGGAGGGAAGCAGCTAACACAGCCTCCTCTCCGAACAGGACCTGCCCTTGCTCCAGCAGGTCCTATAATCCACCTTTTCTCAAGCTTCAAATTGCTGGGGACTTGGCACATCAGAGCCCTTTCCCTCTCACCTTGTTCTCACAGGAGACCAAGCTCCAGCTCTCATCATTTTTGCCCAGTTCAAGACTCAACCAGAAGCAGTAAACTGAGTTTCACAGATTGGCAAACTTCACAAGCATGTGATGGTGTTGTGCCTAAGGACCTTGGGAACCAGGAGGATATGCAGGCGTAGCTGCTTTGGGTCAAAACTGTGCAGAGGTATGAGCAGACACTGTAGTTTGAGAAAAAGTCTGGAGATTTCTGGAAAGGGCCATCAGGAAAGGGAGGCCAGCACAAAGATACAGGGGCCTCCCTTTCCCCCTCCACCTACCCCCATTTCCCTTTCTGCAGCATGGAGTCTTCTCTTTTCCATGTGTGCCAGACACTCCTCCCTAGCTCTGCGTGGGCTGGTTTCTGGCTCCTTCCCTTGGGAGGGTGGGGAGGGGATGGTGCCCCTGGTCTCACACAATTCATTGCCCAGGCCCCACTGTGCATGGCCAAGACTGCTGTGATGGAGGCAAGGAGGCCTCAGCACCCTCCTTGAGCACACACAGAAGGATGGCCACTAATCAGCCCACCCAGCCAGCCTAGCACGCCTGACTAATGAGCTTAGCAACGAGGTGGCCACGCACCCAAGCACAGGGGATCGTTCTGGACACTCATGACAGAAACCCAGTGATGTGGGCAGATCCCGACTCTGCTGGCCTCACCACAGGCAAGGACCCAGCACAAGGCCCTCTGGAGGCTGCTCACCTGTTACATTTAAAACAGAGGGAGAGGGAGCAGGGCCCTCAATCCTCGTGTGTCCTCTCCACCAGAAAATGGTCACAGGTTCGGGAGGACCCACAGCTTCACAAGACAGTTGGAAAGGGGCATTGGGGGGCACTGCTAGGTCTTTTGGCTCCACAGTGAAAAATGGCACACCTAGGGAGAGATGAGGAGTGGGGAGTGAGCCTTGCTGCTTCTCAGCCTCCTTCTGACTAATGACGGGCTTGCTTCATTCCAAGTCCTCTACCAGAAGGTCCTTACCGACCCCTTAAGGTGGGACAACTACAGAAAAGCCATGAAGCTTGGGGGGCAGGGGTGCCTCTTTTCCTCAGCTTCCTTGGGAATATCTTTTCTGCTGCCCCCACACTGTCTTCCCAGACCTGCTCTGACAGCCTTTCTCAGAGTAAGGCAGGAGGCTGGGGTGGGGAGCTGGGGGAGGGGCACGCAGGAGGGGGAGTGGGTGGGAGCCTTCCAGAGTTCTGCTGGCAGGCCCCAGCTCCTGTTCAGGGCCTTTGTTACTTTCTTAGTCACTTTGTTTTCTAGGGCTGAACAGCTCTGAGCTCCTGCAGCTGTGAGGCCTTCCTCCCCTCCCCCACCCTGCCCCTGCTGGTTGGGCCACTTGGCAAAGCAGGGCCCAGTCCCAGATGGGTGCTTGAAGCTTGCTGCTCTGACAACTGAAAGTGACAGCATCCTGTAGGTTGTGGGTCCATGTTGCCCCTGGGTTCTCAGATATCCAGACTCCAGCAGGTAGGGTCTTCTGATGTCTGGGTGGGCCTGGAGCCAGGGGCAGTAGGGTATCCCAGTTTCCACTGTGTTCCCCTCTGCAGAGGTATGCTCACTAGCACCTGCCCCAGGAACAACACACCCATGCGGCTCTACCTCCTCACCTTCCACCGTGAGCCATACTGGCTGGGAGATCTCAGTTTCACCCCCGTCCTCCACCTGGCACCAGTATTGGCCGGCATCAGAGCGCTCCACAGACTTCAAGCTGTGGAAACAGACACCAGGCTTGCTCCCCAAGGTCAAGAGGGACAGATCTGCTGGGGTCAGCCTGCCCCACTTCTGGAAGTTTCCACAGGTTGTCAAATTTTAAAACCACACACCTCTGGATATCAGCATAGCCTCCCCAGCTGGCCTCCCACACCTTCCCCACATTCCTGCACCTGAGGAAGCCAATCCAGTGCTGCTCGCTGACTGAGATGTACACCTGGTTCGAGTTCTGGACCACAGCCCCATCTTTCACCCAGTAGATATCAGGCTCCTCCATCCCCTCCACACTACAGTTGAGCTTCACTGGCTGACCCTGGGACACTGTCATCTTCACTGGGGCTCCCAAGAGCTTCAGGCCTGAGGGAAGGGAAGGAGAATGTGTCAGCCTATTTAAGATGAACCCTGTCTCTGTAAAAATCTCCCATTCTCTTCCAGTACGGAGCTTCTGTGTTAAAGGGCTCTCAGCCAATGCCAAGGAAGCAGAAGCAGGACAGGCAAGGTAGTCTGGACCTAGGTTAGGCAAGGGGCCTGACAAGCTCTCCAGGTACTTTTTGTCACTGCTAAGCTGCCTTTAGCTCTAAGGACCTCTTCCTCATAGCTCCCTACTGCCCAACCACCAAAAGGAAGATATGCTGAGCTAAACCTGTGGGGAGTTGTCACCTCCTGGCGCACGCACTGCCCTGGGAATGACCGCTACACACCCAACCTGTGCAACAGGCTTCCAGCTCTCCACCCAAGATGTCAGCCCAGTCCCTGAACTGCCGCCAGCACCCCTTGCACCCCCACTCTGCCAAGTGAAGGGAGGCTGAGGAAGGGAAGGGGGGTGCTCCCCTGAAGTGGAGAACATATGGCTGCAAAACCACGTCAGATCAAACACATGGCAGCCTTCCTGGCAGCCGCCTGCTCTATTAATACCTGAATGTGTGCAGGGGCGGGTGCTAGGAAGGTGGGAGGTAGAAAGGAGGGGTGGAGCTCTGAGCAGGAACCCAAGACCCCTGAGGCACTGTCACATCAACAGGGCCCACCCACTGGAAGCTTAACCTCCCCACAGAGGCACACACCTCTCCTGGCTTTTTGAAGATGGGCAGGTGAAATATTGGCATAGTTGAAATCCACTCCTGCTTCTTTCTGTCCTTTGCTGTGTGACTTTAAGCAAATTCCAGAGCTCTCTGAGCATCAGACACACAACTTAACTTGTAAAATACTTGTCACCCTTCCCTTCCCTGAGACTGATAAAGCCTGGAATACTGTCTCAAGAGAAGATGCCAGCGGGGGTGGGGGTGGGGGTGGTGCCCGGGCCTGTGTCTCTACCCTACTCCCTTCACCCGCTCAGCAACAGTCACAGGACAAGCCTCACACCCCATATACACTAGCAGTCCCAGAGGTGTGCAGTGGGAACTTGGGGAGCCAGGCACTGCATGGGGCACTCCTGCCTCAGTAAACGCCTCAATGGCTAAGTGGGAACACCAAGGTGAACCCCCACAAAGACCAGCAACCTTGCCCCAGCTCAAACTCCAACATTCTGGGGCTCGGGGACCTCTGAGGGCACAGGAACGAGTATGTCCAGATGCATTTTGTGACTAGGCACCCTCACAGTCCTGTATCCGAAGGATAGAGGGGCGCCCCTTGGTGCTCAGACCCTGTGGTTTCAGAGTGGGACCTTCGCGTGTGCTGCAGGCAGGCGGGCAGATCGGGGTCCCCAGAACTGGGCGGAGGGAGCGAGCAACCAGGAAGATCCAGGCGGGAAAACCCAGTGCCAAACACACCCCGCACCCCACTCTCTCTCCCGTCCACCCCTCCAGAAGAGCCCCGGGCGCGAGAAAGTTGGGGGCGGGGGCCCGGGCGGGAGATCTGGCAGCCGACACCCGCTGCGCCCCAAACGTCGGCCTTCCAGCGCCGGTCCCCCTACTCCAATCTCCGGCCCGCCCAGGCCCGGGTCTCGCGGGCTCCGGTGCCCGGGCTTCGATCGCCGCCCCCCGGCCGCACCCCTCCGCCAGCCCCCCGCTTCCCGCCGCCTCCCGGGCCGGCCCCTACCTGCGGCCGCGGACTCCAGGAGCAGCAGAGAGGCCAGAGCCGCCAGCAGCAGTGGCAGCGGCGGCGGTGGCGGCGGCGGCGGGAGCCCCGGCCGCCCCATGCTCCGCCTCAGCGCCATCGGCGGCGACGCCGCACCATGCCGGGCCCGGCCCGCGAGCGACAAGAGGAGGGCGGAGGGAGGAGGAGCGGGAGGGCCGCGGGAGGGGCTGGGGCCCGCCCGGGGGGCGGCGCTGGCCCAGCGCCTCCCGGACCCGCGGCCGCCGGCGTCAGGGGCGCGGGGTCCCCGGGGCCGCTCCTGGGCCACCGCGCTCCTTCCACAGCCGTCGCCGCCGTCGCCGCCGCCGCTGATTCATGTTCTTCTCCGAGCCGCCGCCTCCTCCCGGCCCGCCCTCTCGCAGCCCGAGCTCGTACCGCCCCCCCGCGGAGCCCCGGTGGCTCGCTCCGCGCGCTCACCGGGCCCCCGTTGCCCGGCCCGCGCCCCCCGCCCCAGGCCCCTCCAGTGCCGCCGGCTGTGGACCTGGCTCGGTCCCTAGATGGGCGCCCCGGCCACGCCCCTTTCCCTACACGCTCTGCACCCTCTCAACACTCCAGATTCTCCCCTCCAGCCTTTGTGGGAAGCCCCTACCGCACCCCAACTCCCATCCAGACCCAGACCCCAGAAGCCAACACTGCCCTGTCAGAGCATAAAGCACCTATTAGACACCCCGAACTGCCGTGACTCAGGGCTCCCCTCACAGGATCCCAGAGCACACCTTGTGCCTCTTTCATTGAGCCTCTTACCCCACTTCCTCATATCCGTGCTCTGTTTCCCACCAAGTATTCTCCTATCCGAAAGAGCCCATTCTTTTCCAGCCCACCTTCCCAAGGCGCTTTCCACCTTGAGTCCGGTCGTGAGTTTTGCACCATCAGTTTGGTAATTCTCAGGTGTCATCTGATAATCTGTCCCCACTGCTGCCCTGCACAGGCCAAAGCCCAGTTGCCCTGTGTTTGGGGGCTGTCATTCTTCCTACTTGTTTCCTCTGCTTCTACCTCTCATTCCCCAGAACTTGGTGTGAAAGTTGGAAGTGTCCTCATGTTATCTATCCATTGAAACATCAGCTCTCATTAGTAGACCACCCTGCGCACAGTAGGCACTCCAGAAATAAACAGATCCCTGTTAAATGAATGAGTAATTGCCTCAGAACCTTCACCACAATAATCACTTGGGGTGGCCTGTGCCCACAGACATCCTGTCAGGCAGATGCAGAAGTGGTTCCAAACCACACCGACCAAGTGGTCCCCCTGGAGCCCACTCTAGAAGGCCCTTCCAGAGGTCCTGGGTGGGGAGAAAGGCCTCCCATCGCGGCAGGCTTCCTGGATCTTTCCAGGGATTCTCCTTCTGAGCAGCAGGAGCTGCCTCTTCCTCCACTTGGCCCCAATGCTTGTTTATTAATTATCCTAATGATAACAACAGTAGTGCTGGCGGGAGCCTCAGCCCCAGCTGGGGGCGCCCCCAGGCGGCAGTACTGGGAGAGACTCAGATAGTGCTGTCAGGAGTTGCATGGCAGGGGCCCGATGACTGCTTGAGCTCTCTGCCAGATTTTGTGGGCGCTGTGGGTCGCTCCAGGACCTTTCCTAAAGGAAAAGATTTATTCCTTTCCAGGAGCCACCGCTTCCGAGTTTGGGCTGGCAGATAACCGTCCAGGGTTGAAGCCAGATGGCTTAGCCACTTGTCACTTCTCAAGACCTCTCCCTCACCTCTTTTCTCTGGAAACTCAAGTTTCCAGTCAGAGGGAGCCTCCTCCTCTTATTCTGCCTGACTTTTGAAAGACTGGAGGATGTTGAAGCCAGACAGAGCCCAAACTCATCTTCTGTTTCCTTTCTTCCCTTCATCCCTTCCCCCATCACTTCCTGACCTGACGGAATCCTAGCCCAAGGGCCATTCTTTGCCATCAGTCAAAATGGCTCTTGGAGAATGTCATGGATGCAACCACATTCTCCACTTACAGCCTTGACAAATTTTCCACCTCAGCTGGAGGCCTGAGACACATCACTGTCACCCCAGGCAGTCCACTTTTCATGTGGGCAGGGAGCCCTAACTTCCTGTTTCCTCTCCCCTTAACTAGGAATTCCTCCTGGTATTACTGCTTGGAGGGTGGAGATGGGGAGAAACCTGTGGGGTCCTGGCCCTTCGACTTTTCAGCTCCTACAGAAGGTGCTTGGTTTCTGAGCTTTGACAACCCACTCATCCTGCCTGTCACCCCACCTTTCATGCTCTCTCTCTCTTTCTCTCTCTCTCTCCTCTCTCAGGGCACAGTATAGGAATGTGCTTCTGGGGGTATGTGAGCAGGTGTGATTTTGTGGAAGAGATGTGTAGGTGGGTGAGAGGGTGTGCACTGTGATGTACGAGGGAGGGTGTGCATTTGTGCAAATTCTAAATGTGACTGACACTTTGTGGGTGGATGGGGAGGTGTGTGTGTGTGTGTGTGTGTGTGTGTGTGTGTGTGTGTGTGTGTGTGTGTGTGTTTGTATGTGTGTGTCTGGAGGAGGTTGGTTGCCTGTGAAATGCATGCCTGCAAAAGCTCCTTGCATAAATGCACTGCTTGGAAGGAAACTAATCAAATCAACAGGAAATGTATTTGACCTAACACAAGAGCAGCTGTTCTAGGAGCTCCTGTCCTCAGAACAGAACCAGAGCCAGCTATATCCCAGGAGGAGCAGGGGGCTGGCTGCAGGAGTGGAAGGGAACTGAGTAGGAGGAAGGGCCAGTGGCAGCCACTTATGGACAGAGCTAGATTGGGCCATGGCATCTCCCTACACTGGTAAAATGAAATACGTCTCTGCCTACACTCTGCCTGCTTTCTTGTTTTATTTTGTTTTGTGGGGCTGGGGATCAAACCCAGAACTGCTAAAGTAGGCCAAGGACCCAGAGAAGACAAAGACAATCCTGGAAATAAAAAGCATTGGTCCCAGTAGCAGGGCACCCTGAAGCCAACTCTCAGTGGTCCCAGAAAACAGTTGCTCCAGCCTTTTCAGATTTAACAGTCCCCGTCCCCTCCAGAGGAAGGAAACCAAGGTGAGCTGTGGGGACATGGCAGCCTTACTGACCCTGTGCCCAAGCATCTGTTCTTTCCCAACTACTGGCTCAAGAGGTAAGTTGGCAGGTCCCACTCAAAGAATGTGGCAGGCCACAGACTATGTTCCTTGTCACCTTACAGGCAGAGGATGTCTGCCTTTGGGACTTACAGGAAAACTGCCTATAGTTGTAATTCCAAGGATGCTGGGAACTGTTGCTGTGCCTGCCAAACACTAAGCAAGAGACAATGTCATCCTTGTCCCACAGAAGGTGAAGCAGACAGGTACGTTCCCAAGGGAGATACACTTTGATTTATAGTCACAGGGGAACTCCCAAACGACCAGATTTCTGCTCAAGAGGAGATTTAGGAATAAGAAGAGAACAATAAGGTTGGAGTTTCTGAAAGGGCAGATGGGTCCAAACTATGTAAGAGAATTGCTCTCTTCAAAACTTCACCTGGGGCCAGGTGCTGGCAGCTTACAGCTGTAATCCTAGCTACTCATGAGGCAGAGATCAGGAGGATCTTGGTTTGAAGCCAGACCCTATCTCTAAAAAACCCTTCACAAGAAAAAACAAAAAAAGAGGGCTGTGGAGTGGCTCAAAGTGAAGGTCCCCAGTACTGCGAAAAAGGAAAAGAAAAAAAGAAAATTTCACCTGGGGGTGACCCTAACAGGAAGAGTTTCATGTGTGAATGTGTGTGTGAATGTGCACGCGTATGTACAGGTTGTGTCTGTGTCTGAGAGAGTTAATTCTGTCTTTGTGACTAGCTGTGTCTCTATTTGACCATCTTCAATTGTAGCCTGATGGGTGAGGATTTTCCACCTTTATTTATTTGTTTATTTATTAATTTATTTAGGGTTTTTTTATACTAATAAGGTAGCCCAGGCTGGCCTCAAACTTTTGATCCTCCTGTTCAGCCTCCATGTGTGACCACATGCAGTTGTAACAACTAAAAAAAAAAAAAAATTCATCCAAGCTAGGCCTGGTGGCACACATATAATACAGTCCTAGCTCCTTGGGAGGCTGAGATGAGAAGAATGTTTGATCCCAAGAGTTTGTGACCAGCCTGGGCAATAAACTTGTTCATAAATAGATACAAATGGTTACATATGGAAACATGTATAAAGATGCATACTTACAATAGTATACACACATATATCTACACTCTCAGTGGGGAAAGGCTTAAAAGCATGACTCCCCAGTAGCAAGGAGCAACCCAGCACCCAGATCCTGGTTTCTAATACCACTCTCAAATAAAAGGAACCAAGGGTCCTCAGAGAAATGATTGATTCAGAGTAAGAAATACACAAGACGATCTTGAAGCATCTTGTACCACGCACACACACATACTGATAGAGCATTTCAAAGGATTAGGGAGAGGGGGTAACTTTCAGCAACAAAATAATGTAGTATTAGATTATATGCCAACATGTAAAGTGTGTGTATATTTGAATACATACGTTAACGGAGAATACATAAATAAGTGCAGAAAAATTTCAAATACTTTATATACATACTCCACCTGTAGAAAGTGGAGCAAAATTCCCCACTCATTAAGTGTGGCTGCTCATACTGACTTCCTTCTTCTTTTTTTTTTCGTGAGACTGGGGTTTGAACTCAGGGTTTTGCACTTGCAAAGCTGGTGCTCTACCACTTGAGCTCCACACCTCCAGTCCATTTTGCTCTGGTTATTTTGGAGATGAGGGTCTTGCAAACTATTTGCCCAGGCTGGCCTTGAAACTTGATCCTCCTGATCTCAGACTCCCAAATAGCTAGGATTACATCTGTGAGCCATTGGTGTCTGGCTATGACTTCTTTCTTAAAAAGCAGGGGAAAAGCCAAGTCTGGGTTCACATGCCTGTGAAAGGAGGACCACAAGTTTGAGGCCAACCTAGGCTACATTAGTGAGATACTGTCTCAAATAAAGAAAGGAAGGAAGGGGCTGGTGGAACGACCTAGCAAGCAAGAGGTCCTGAGTTCAAACCCCAGTACCACAAAAAAGTTAAAAACCCCAGTACCACCAAAAAAAAATAAATAAAAAAAATAAAAAAAAAAAAAAAAAAGGAAAGAAGGGGAAACAAAAAGCGGGGTGGGGCGAGGGGAAAAGGAGAGAAAAGAATAACTTTATATTGGAGAAACCCAAAAACATTACTTCAGTTGGGTAACTAAAGTCAATACCAGTAATGATGTCATGTTGGTAGTGAGTACCATTGATAGGATGTGATAAAAATGACAATTTAGCTTTGTAGTCTTCTCTTGCCTGCCAGCACACTGGCCCAGCGCCCTAGGCATTGAACTACCCCACCCGACAGCATGTAGTCTTCTCAAAAACCTATAAGCA